TCAAAAACTAGGGAGTACAGATTCTTCTAGCGTTATGGTCATTATGAAACAAATGGAAGGAAAAAAAGCATGAGAGAACAACTTGCTAGTCTTGGTAAACCCCAGTCTGAGCTTTGGAACCCTGAACAGAAAAAAATGATTGGCGGCCACCATAGCAGGAGAAACACAGCCCTGAGCCGTGCAAAACTCTGCAAAGTCACTCCCCAGCAGGCAAACACGTTTGAGCTAGAGACAAGATATGGCACATGAACAACACCGCTTGACCTGCTTCCCTCTCACTAGGAATGCAAAGCAACCTCAAGCTTGGAGGCACTGGCAGGCCCTGCTTTAGATGCCAGGTGTTGTCCAAACAGCACAACCAACTCTCATTTACATTCACCAAATTGAGAAAGGAGCAATCAACAGTCATCGTAAAATTATGTGAGGACAAATGAAACAATACAGTGCTGGGATTTTAACTTAAGTCGCCCATGCGCCGAGTGACTGTCAGGGTGTGACAATATCTCTATGCATCTTGCTACACCTGTCAGCGGGGAGTAGAGACCGGAGTGTAAATCAGTAAATAACACAACTTAGTAGATGCATTACAATGGTAGAAATATATGTTCCATTTAGTAAAACCACAGTTCCACCCACGGAGGGAGGGCCTTTTGGTTTTACTTTGAAACCATTTGATCAAACATAGGACAAATAAGTATTTATAAAGTCTGGCACCCTAAAACCACTGACGTATACAGCAATAACAGGACAATGTCCTACTCCCTTGAGATTCACAATGCCAATGGAATTAGAAGCAGAATGCTAAGATACACATAATAAAGGCTAAAAAACAATAACAAAGGAAAGGTGTCACCATCTTACACATCTATCATGTTTGTAAGTTATTGAAAACTACCTGCACTTTGACCACATGAGAATCTAACCGGGTGCTGTCTGCTCAGTTGACATTGTGCTGGACTGCAGTAAGTGTGTGACCTTGGTTCTAATCCCAGACCCTCCGCTCCCAAGAGACAGTTGTTTAAAAGAGCATCCATGGCTCTCCACCAAAAAATATGTAACATTACCTAAAACTGGAGAATCCGCATCCTAAGAAAACATACTGTGCACAAAGAGGCATATGATAGAATGCAGAAAACAAAAAACAAACAAACAAGTGGACAGATACCGAGACAACCACACTTAAAGAACAAATGTATGGCAGGCCCTGTTTCTCTAATGAGAACCTTAGCATCTGACTTGTATTATGATAAAAATTTCTTTTTATCAATGCAATCATCTTCAAGAACATAATTTATGCATGCAATATATACAACAAAAAAACAAAGAAACCCAGCAAAAATTACATTACCAGAGCAAAATTCTTGTGCTGACCATAGTATTTAAAACAAAAGGGTGTGGCATTCAACAATTATTTTCCCCAACGCAGTGATGTAACAAAACACATTTTTTACTTGAATAGGTTATTTCCCACCAACTTACACACAACAAAAACAGGATATGTAGGACAGTTACATCCTAAACTCTTTTTTAACGAACACCATACGGCTATTGAATATAATTTTAAAAAAAAAGAAAGAGAGTTCACTATGACACAGCCAAAATGATGATGAAAGTATTGACAGGATTTCATAGTACCCTCTTTTGGTACATAATGCTAGACAAACATCCTTTATTTTGTTACCTACAGACATTATTTAAAAAAATACCAAGTAATATACACAAACAAAAGAAAGAGTGAATGTATGTGCCTCCATTCCAACTATCTCCAATAATACTCTTGATGAGATGTCTATACCATTACTCTTCACCTATCAACGATGCGCAAACTTTGAAGAAATGCTGAACGCTTGATTCGTTGCTGGTGCTAGATGGCTGCCTTTGAATATACTGTGAAAACTATTTCCAATAGTCACCTCACATATCCCAACAAGTTCTCTGGCCTTCTATGCTAGCCCATACTTTCCGCTTAAGAGCCTCTTTTCAATAACACACATGAATGAGGCAGCAAACAGTAAGCTGTGAGTTCAAATTGGCATAGATTGTAGAAGGCGCAGGACAACTGCTGGGGCCACCTGCTCAACAAGGACCAAGCATTATCAAACCCAGCTAGCTGTACATTTCTGTTTTCCTATCTGTGTGGTTTGTGTTCACGGTGGCCCTGAGAGATAGTGTATTTACCATCAGTAGAACAGAGATATCTGCACCAGACCCATGGAGTCAAGTGGAAGAGAAAAGAACCCAGGAATTTAAGGGAAATAGGGTTTGGCATAAGAAACGGGCAGCAACATTATTTGTGTGACACAAAGGGGAACTTTCTAACACAGCCAATAAATGAGAGCTAAACCATTTTTCTTGTTTTTTTTTTTTTTAAATGTCGACAGACAGGCAGTGTCCACATTTTTTCTCTGTAGAGGCAATAAAAGTTTAAAGGACAAACATTTACAAACCCATTTAAGCCTTTACAGTGCCAAGTATAAAATCTTGGTCTTCTATACACAAAGAAGTAAACAAAGACAGTATCGAGGATCCACTGTCACAAGGAAAATACAAAACAGCCGCTTCCACTCACACACTCTTTCTTTCAAAAAAAAAAATCTCATTGCAATTTCAATCTTCATGAACTTTGAGCATCTTCCATGTCGCAAGGAACCAGAGGAAAAGAAGAAAAGACGCAATACAATGGACACTGAAACCCAATTACTTGTGTTTTGAAATACAAAGGCAAATACAGCAGCACAAGCAGGGTATATCAAACACACAACAAAGGTAAGTACTTTCACAGGCTCAACACAAAAGTCCCGCTCACAAACATTTTGATAAATTCACAACCACTAATCAAATAAAACAAAAAGAATTTTTCTTCTACAGTGATAAGAAAAAGAGATGAAGTATCCACAGAAAAAGACACAAGACAAAAGCAATTTCCTTTAAAAAAATCCTCTGAACATTTTTAGAGGTGAACTTCTACCATGGTGTGAGTGTGTATGGAAGGAATTAAAGTTTTGTCATTAGCCTTGTTATAAGGTTGACTCTTAACATTTCAAAGGTCCTCAGGGTATGCAAGACTCAACATGCTAAGATATTGATAAACCCTAAACAGAACCATGAGATGCAGCAAAGGGACAACAAAAAAACCATCTACACTTCAAGCCCTGATCGAGTTTGTTCTATCCTTATTGTTCCAACACCTTGACAGCCCTATCACAGAATCCTAAACACAAGAACACAGCCTTACAACCCCCAACTCCTCAATTTTCCGAGCCAAGGTTCAACAATAAGCCTATTTCTGATCAAGAAACTCTTTATGTCAGGATCATAAAACTTTTACAAAAATTTTGGTGCAAAAAACTGTCTAATTAAAACATGACAACAACAACATGAACAACAACAGATGCAAGCTATTTCAAACAATCCAAACGCCCCTAGACAAATTCATGACTTGCAACATACTTGAGAAAGAGCCAAACACAGAGACCACAGGATATACAGAATCAAACCCAACGACAGTCACTCAAGCAAAAAATGTATACCTCCAAGGGCTTCGTAAAAAATCACACTAGGTCACACTTCAAAGACAAAAAGGACCGTTAAACACCCACAGCCTACATACTGACTAGAGAAACATCTTCTGTGTCACAGTCGTCGATGCTTTCACTGAGTGACACTGGGTTTTAAATACTATGTGTTATTTGCAAGTCTACATTATGCAACATCTCCCATCAAAAGAACCTAATAGCAGTTTCCGCTATCAGTGCAGAGAAAAACTATGACTTCAAGCACACAATTGTGAAAAATTTTAATGCAAGAGTTTCTTTTACCAAAACCAGCCTTCGTGTGCTTCAATTAGCACAAACAATACTTTAAAAAACTTTAAATCAAGATCAAGTAAAAAAATGTGCCCTGCATTTCCGCATGATGATATGGAGCACATTTTTCCACTTCGATTAATACATAGTAGATATCAATACTAAATATATTCTGTAAAAGCTTGCTTGGCAAATCTACTGCCTCAACATGTCTTGAGTCTCGGTCAGTGTTTGAGCTGATAAATCAAATCACTTCACTCTTGTGACAGTTTAGCAAGAACAATATCGTCATAGATAATACAACTACTATCACACAAGTTCAAGATATGAGAGATCATTCACAGAAGCCATAGGGTCCAACCAGCACGTGGCTCATTGAATATTTGTGATCTCAAGCACTGCTGAATGAGTGGAAAGCTTCCTTTGCATTTAATATCAATAGCAAAAATCTTGAATCTGTCAAGTAAACAGACAAAAATAGCTTTGATGAGTGTGAGCCTTCACCACAGACACCCAACAAAACCATTTGTGCACATCAATCACATGCTCATCCTCAGAAGAAACATGCACATAAACATAGAGAACAGGAATTGTGAAGTGCTGAACGAATGTATGATAAGTGGGACAATGTTTTATATGAGGATCTGGAGGCAGTGCTGCCAACTTCATCACAATTGTCATGAGGGGGGTTGGGGGTTGGTGGAGAACAGAGTCAATACCACAAAGCTGGTACTTCCCTCTTTCACCATTTCTCAACAAACAGGGAGAGCTCTTCTTCAAAATCTACTTAGTTTATCTCTTCAGAGAAAACAAAATAACCCATCAGATCTACCTATTGCTACCATTTTCTTTTCTTCAAATTCAGATTTAACAAAACATCTGTCTTCTCAAACACCACAGGAGAGCAAATACCAACACTTTTGGTTACTGACTTTTCTTTGAAGCAATCACAAAACACATTAAACAACTAAATCTATTTTGAAAAAGAGCTCTGTAATTGGAGCTTGGAGCGGTTGTCAGATGTACCCACAGTCATCCCAGCAAGTACAGAACCACCCCCTGATGTTCCATGCAGGAGACAGTTCATGTTTGGGATAACTAGACATAACTGGCGACCGGGGGGTGGGTGAGGAGGGGGGGGGGGGGGAGAGTTTGGGAGAGGGGGTGGGGTGGGGGGAGAGCTGAGGTTCCTACGAGAGGTAAAAAGACTATGTACAAACTAAAGCCATCATTAGTGGTGGTTCTGCGCGGTGGCTGCAGTGGCTGCTGCTGCTCCTCTCGATGTGGAGTTGGACTCGGCGCCCGCCCCTCCGGTCTCCATCGTGTTGTTGGCACCATCTTGTGAGACAAAGACAATAACATGCTAGTTTTAGTACGAGTTTTACTGCAGTTACAGTCTGTGTAGATGTAGTTTATGTTGAATCAGTACAATAACAACAACACTCTGCCAAGATGGAATTACAAAAATATTAATAAAATTTACAACAACAAGGAGCAGATCATATCACAGCATCCACCAACCACCCACACATCACTGCAGTTGGAGGGGTTATTGCCATAGAAGTAGGACAGCTACGTCTGTGAAGGGGATGACACTTGATATTTAAAAAAAAAAAAAAAAAAAAATTTAAATAGTTTTTTAGTAAGGTTTTATAGCGCTCGCAACTGCATAAGTTCATATGAGCGTCAGGGGGTGGATGTCAACAGAGAAGTCCAAACGGGGAATCAGGCTTACTCTGCTCACCTCCTCTAGCCTCAACAGCACAAAGCCTGCTTGGACTATCAAGGTACCCCAGAAATAGCAGTTCACAAGAGTGACAAACACACAAAAGAAGTAGAGGCAAAATGATGATAGTAAGGATGAGGAAAGAAAAAGCAGCAGTTCCCCCTATGTGTTCCGGCACAGTATGAGGATGATATTGATAAATAAATCCATTTTTAAATTACTTTCACAATAAAAAAACTTTCAATGAAACACAAATCAACCCAAATTTCCAGTACACAGGTGACAGGTCGGCTACGCTAAAATTGATGTAACATGGATTATTTTAGGCAATTTTTAAACTTTTAAGGGACACAGAACAGTAAATGCAACAAGAACAAGTAAGTTTTGTGGAAATCCTAGAACAATTTACAATGTGTGTGTGTCTGAACTTCATGCCTTTACAAAACAAACAGGTAATTCAGAAGGCCCTATCACTTGGCTCAGATAAGAGTAAAGAATGAGGAAAAAAAGCAAAAGAAGAGACCCAAAAGCTACTGCTACTTATGTACATCAGAGCATAGATGTTCAGATGTGCTGTCCAACCATAAGTGAGGTTGTTGCACCTTCTGCTGCTATGTGGCTGATTTATTTGTAATGAAGGAGATAGACAAGGACAAAAAGTTAAGACATACAAATACTGGACGGAGAAAACAAAACTTTGATAATCTTTTACTAATCAGCAAGTTTCTATAAAATCAATGCCCAGTAAGATTGTTTTTTGTTTCTAAAAACACTTCCTATTAGACAAAAAACAACACTGCAACTCACCATTATGGTTTTGCATAGCACTTTGCTTTTCTTTTTCTCTTTCACGGTTTTCATACTCCATGACTTCATTGTATATGAACACTGTGGTCAAGACATGGACATTTATGAGTAAAATTACAGAGCAAAGGAATGTGATTATTCTTTCTTTACAATCTTTACCCAATCGCATTAAAAAAATCATGGAGGTAGAGATAAAACAGCATTGTCTAAAAGAAAGAAATAAAATCATTCTCTTCATTTCACTTGGAAGAAAACACATGGGAACTAAATAATTTTCTGTTTCAGCTGGATAATATCCTCTTCTTCGTCTCATTTTACAATAAGGAGCAAAACCATTTTCTCGATTTTTCCTAGAATTACTAAGGAAATTAATGAAAGCCTTCATCGTCTTAAAATTATAATATTATTTCTCAAACGCTCAATACTGAACAAGTGACATGTCACCACAACTTCTATAGTATAAATTACAAGACAATGGAAGATTGGATATGTTGTCCCCCCTGGTACAATTACGGACATGGAACAGAACTTAAAATTTCATCCCTCTTGCAGACATATACGCTGAAGTTGTAGTGTGCTAAAACATTTTACTGCTACACTAATCCGACTCACTTTTCCATTCTAGGACTGAGTGTTCTCTTTCATCCACTGCATGATCGTATGGACCTGGTGCAGGCTGAAAACAAAGAGATAAAAAAAAGTTAAATTTTAAGCCAGAACCACAGACTAGCAACAGAAAAACAGATTAAAATATCCACCAAAGGCTACGGAAGAGCACTATCAAAATAAGAGAAAGAAATGTCTACAAAAACCAACTGGTCTCAGAATTATTTCGGTTTTCAAAAAATCTTCATCAGTAAGCATTTTACAGTAATTGCAATACAATTAGGTCATATGAAGATTAGAAGAGGTACATACCAGTGCCAAACATGGTCTCTACACAAGGCACAAGAAAGAAAAATCAACGCATGCGAAATGAGGTGTCTCTGCAAAACCATCAACATCACCAGAAGAGACCGCATAAGAAACGAAACCATACGTCTACAAACCGGAACACCACCAGTAATAAAATTCATAGAGCGTTTAAGAGTCAAATGGTTTGGACATGTAACCAGAATGTCCAAGAAACAACTAGCGGCTAGAGCTTACAACACCCAAGAATCCGGCTTCAAATCAAGAGGGAGACCAAGAAAGACCTGGCTGGACGGGGTTAAAAAGGTCTTGGAACAAAATAACATATCTATCACAGACGCTACACACCTAGCACAAGACCGAAACCTGCACCTCCCCTCGACATCCTAAGTAAAAGTAAAAAGTAAGTACAAGAGAGTACTAACAAGCACAAAAAAGAAAGGGGGGAGCGGAGGAGCAAACCACACCAGAGCACCCGCCAACCACGCACAACCTGAATTCATATTCCATGGCACAACCTTTCATCCATCCTGCTGTAAACTTCTGAAATACAAGCAGGTCAGCACTTTGCTTGCTCTCGGTGACATGTTGATCACAGCTTACAATACCAAGAACAAAGAGCAGGAAGTAAAGTTGTTAAAAAAAATGTTTCTACTTCTGTGACCACAGGACTACTCTACAATGCATTCTTCCCTATGCCAAAAACCATTCATAAAAGAAGTCCTACAACATGAAAAAACAATCTCAGAAAAAAAACCTTTGAAAGTTGAAAAATAAAATGTAATGTATGCACAACACCACCTGCCTCGACATGGAACATGACGAAGACAAAATGCTTGGCCATCTAACCTCAACACATCCTGGGAAAAACCAAAGATTGAACGAGAGTGACTCACTCCAACCCTTTAAGACTCGGGACAAGCTTCACTTCATGTAGAGTGACAATAACCATGGCTATGACGCTTACCCCATTGCCTTCTATCTCACCTTATCTGACCACCCCCCCCCAAAAAAAAAACCCAAAGGAAAAACAAGCTCTCACATCCATACAAGAATGATTTGCTGCTACACCCCAATAGTCCAGATTCGGCTCAAAATGATAGATTTTGAGTTGTAGGCACTTTTAGCTTCTTCAGCCTCTCTTACAACTATTTCATAGCATTAGAATCCCCTACATGTTTGTCACCACCATTTCCTCAAAGAGTCAATTTTTTGTTATCCTTTATCGCCTGTTTTATCAAAACATGGTTTTTCTATATACTTTTTTTGAAAAACTCCACCATTTTTCAGCCAATCTTCATGAAATTTGCACAAAATGAAGAGAAGATGTAATACTAAAAATTTGTCTGTTGAATTTTTGATCTGTTAAGGAAAAGTTCAACAGAATTTTTTTTTAGATCTAATGTTTGCTAACATGCACGTAAAAAACCCCCACCCTTCCATGAAAAATAAGTGAAATATTCATTACGCAAGACATATCTATAAAAATCCAATATGGCCGCCGCAGCCTTGGAAACGAAACTTTTTCTTAAATTTGATAGCAGATTTTAAGACTCCTTACTATGCTTGTTATATGTGTGAAACTTGGTAAAATTTGATCAACTAATAAGCGAGAAAGCCTTCAGGTGTAGACCCCCCCCCCCCCCAAAGACTTGGGACAAACTTCACTTAATGTAGAAAGGCATTAACAACCATGGCTGTGACACTCACCCCATTAACTTCCATCAAACCTTATCTAAACAACCACCCCTAAAAAAATCCTGTCCTGCCCCTCCCCTCCAAATAAAACAAAATTTAAAAAAAACAAACAAACAAACCGTCCCACACCTGTACAAGAGTGATTCACTCATCCCTTTCAGATTTGGAAACAAACTTTTGCTTTACGTAAAGAGGCATTAATTACCAACCAGAGCAATACCACTCACCCCGTTGACTTCCCGCTCGTCGTACCAGACGTTGATGTACGGGTGCATCAGAGCCTCGTCCACTGAGATTCTCTTCTCCGGGTCGATCACCAACATTTTGGACAACAAATCCCTGGCCACCATCGCTCTCAACCCTTGATGCTCTGGAACAAAAACGAAAGCAAAGATAAAGTCAAACCTCAAACTGAAAACCTGAGCTAAAGTCAAGCTCACTGGCTCAAACATTATCCCATAGTCTTGTTAAAGGGGGGGGGGGATACTGAACCTCCAACTCTACTTGTACAAGGGAGGGAGGGAGGGAGA